TTTTTCTGTTTAAAACTTTTTGTGAAACGGTCAGTTTTCTATGTCATTTTTGGTCAAAAACTAAGACACTTCGACAAAAAAGTTTTGTAAAATTATTTTTCAAAACTGTATCTTTGCTTGCATGTTTCTCATAAAATTAGAGAACATTTAGATGAAAATTATTGAATGAAAATTTTTGAAAAAAAAAATCAAAAATATGTCTTCTCTGCATGATTCTCATCAAATAAAAGCATTAAAAAATATTGGGAACATTTTTTTTCAGACTTTTCTTTATAACATTTCAAATTTTGGTTGTCATGTGGTCAGAAGGTGAAACATTTTGATGAAAATTTTTGAAAGAAAAAATTAAAAATTTTTACTTTTCTGCATGTTTCTCAATTCTCATAAAATTAGTGCAAATAGAGAATATTTTTACAAATGTTTCTGTAATAATTACATTTAAAAAATTGGGAAATATTTTTTCGGATATTTCTTTTTTATAAAATTTCAAATTTCGGGTGTAATGTGGTCAGAAGGTAAAACATTTGACGAAAAATGTTTGTAGAATTATTTTTAAAAATGTTATTTTTTTCTGCATGTTTCTCATAAGATTTGGGCATTTAGAGAACATTTTTAGAAATATTTCTGTATAAAGTTTTCTGTTCAAATGTGAATTTTCTGCATCATTTTTGGTCAAAAACTAAACAATTGTGATGAAAATTTTTGAAAAATTATTTTTTTAAATGTTATCTTTTCCTGCATGTTTCTCAAAAAATCATAACATTGGCAGACACCACAGTGATCACAAACCACTTACTGAAGATCTGTGTTCTGCACTTATATATATCTATAGCATAGATTATACATTTTGTAATTGCTGATAAAAACATTATTTTTAAATATTTATTTCATGGAAAGAGTATTTTGTTCTGTGAGACAGATCAGATGAATAGCTTTCAAACATCCATGATGTAGTGACTGCTGGGAGCTGGATTTTGTTTCACTCCCACCCTTTGTGCAGGATGTTGTATCCTCTGCTTCCAGTGATTGATTATGTTTATGTGCTGTGTTATTGACTGACCGTAAACCATGTGCCCTGAGTTCCCGGCTGGTCCGCAGTTTCTCTAGATCCTCCACGTGTCGGAACAGGAAGAAGACGTCCTTGCACTCAGGATGAGTCTCAAACAACCTGTTACCAAGGGGACGGAGCACAAACAGCCATCTGTGAAGATCAGTCTGTCAAATTTATTCCCGCACCAAATGAAAGTGACTTTACTTCGTAAGGAGACACGACCTCTTTTCTCCCATCTCTTTTCCTGTAGCTATCATCTCTTTATGGGAGATCTAATTGTCCATTTCCTGATTTCATTTTCTTTTTTTTAATCATTACTGCAATCAGCCCCAGGCTCCATGGAGAGTGTTAGTCAGGAAATCCACCATGTCATCTCCCTCCACAGCTGTGATGAGCCGCCACGCTCTGTTGCAGCTGCCGTGGAGTTTCGAGTTTAAATGAAGCCAGAGTTTTCTTTCTGTGATTTAACCTCAGTCAATTTCCTCAACCAGGCCTTAAGTATGCTGCCATCCAATCAGCGAGCTTCCAGGTCTCCAGCTGAGGATTCAGTGATTAGTCGTACTGCCAGAATATAGCGTTTCCGTCCCTGCGTGATGTGAGCTCCCACACATACACACACACACACACACAGCGCTGACTAGTGATTCAGTGTGATGGTGGTGATGGAGAGAGAGGAAAGGAGTGGTGGATGGACATGGTAAAAACTGTTCTTGACACAACCCACCTCACCGGGGTCACGAGCTGGAATCAAACCACAAACTACACCCTGACAGGCAGAAATCCTGCTGCTGCAGCTGCTGCACTACTAATAAATCTATAGGAAAATTATTGATAGATAAATGTTTTAACCTTTATGTCTTTATTAGTAACACTCTGTTCACTCCTTCTCTATGCAGATGACACCCATCTCTATGAAGCTGTTTTGATCTCTCACCCTGATGAGTTGAGTCACCCTCTCCAGGAGAAAATGTTATCTGTTCAATCTGTTCCGATTGAACAATACTGCCACCTAGTGGATATATCTTTATACGCACATTAATTGATTTAGTTTGCCACCAAAATGCTACATAGATGTTTGCCAAGATTTGACTGATGCTCAGACCAGTGTAACACGGACAACTTGAACGTAACTGGTGTAAATCAAAACAAAGTCCTTTGTCTGAAGAAACATGACTCGACTACGTCCTTTAACTTCAAATAATTTACTTTCATCTTGCTTTTTTTAAGAGTTCCTTGAGTTCCTCTCTGACTTTCTTTCATCCGAGGTCAGTCACGTCTGTGCTATTCTGTATATATTTTTTTCTGCTGCTGTAATTTTTAAGAGATAATCATATATAGACAGACAGGGCCACAGACAGGCTGTCAGTGGACCCAGTTATGTCCAACAGTGATTCGCAAACCAACGGTGATTGATTTTATTTTTGTTTATTTTCGTTTTTGTCTCTGTTTTCTACAAAGGCCCATTCACTACAGTCATTACAGACGAGGGAACCGTCTGAATCGTCTGCTCTGTGTGTTTTCAAATCCACTCTCCTCTCTGCTGCAGCACGTACTGTATGCCGAGCGTTATTTATTTATTTATCTTCCCTCCACTCTGCGTAGGTTTTGTCGACGCTGGCGAACGTGCAAGCATGAATAACATGTGCAGACAATGTTACAGCGGCCTGTAAGGCTCAAGTGGAATTTTAATTGGCACGGTTCAGAGGTCGTCTGTGGCACCCACAGACAGGATCTCTGGAGTATCTGTCTCATATATTTTTGTAAATCAAACAGTATATGCGTGTGAAAACGTCCGTTAAACTGACAGTGAAGAGCCGATAAAACAGTGAATCCTCATTTGCTGGGCACGTTTACTCTTCCTACCAGTGACGACAGCCTCGGGGCCCTGACCCATATGAGGCCCATGTTTCAAAGGCTTATATGCAAAGGTCAAGACCCTTAACTGTCAGGGTGACCCCTGGGACACATGGCATTAATTGGGTATAAGGGTATAGAATATGCCCAGCAGCAGCAGCAGCAGCAGCA